AAAACTTGTCAAATATGCTCACCTTTAATGCCCGGTTCTTGGGCTTGTTTTCCTTGGCAAGGCCCCCACAGAAGTGGAATTTCGGCTGAAGGGAACCCAATTGTCATTTTCTAAGCATGTTCCCAGACCAGGGGCTGGAGAGGATTCTGGCTGATGCTCCACTTCAGTCCCCAGAAGTACTGGAAGGTTCCTGGGATTTAGGGAGCAACCTCTAGTTCTGGAAGCTGTCCCAGAATTCTGGAATGTTGGAATTCAAACGGCCTCCTGCCCATTTTCCAGAGGAGGAACCTTAAGCCCAGAGAGGGAAGGGGTTGGCCTGAGGTCACACAGCATTCTGTGATGAGCTAGAGTTTGCCACTAGAAGTTGGGAAATTTGTGAACAGGCCAGCATCTCCTATATGGAGGTAATAGCACCCCAGTTTCCTACTAGAGACCTTTCTTTTCCCCCATCTCAGCCCACAAGGTTTGGGGGCTTACCCCAGGACCTTGTCTCCGGGGGTGGGCACAGGACCAGTTCTGGCTCCAGTGACTACTCTGGGGACAGGCCTGTGCTAAGCCTGCCAGTGAAACTCGATCCAGGGAGTTTGGTTGCTGGGAATTATTTCTTAAGGAGATGCAGTTTTTCTATTGGACTGGCAGTGAGGACATCACATGCAAGAGGCTGCCTGAGAGAGATCAGCACAGAGCTGGGCAGGTTTGATCCCCGGATCCAGCCCTACCTGGAATTAGACACCCTTGGGTTTCTTAGTTTAATGAACCACTACGTTTCCCATTTTTGGCTGAAAACTGGGCTAGTTTTCTGTCACTTGCACATGAAAGGTTCTGACTGACCTGGTGGAGCTGTGGGGAAGGGAACAGATTTCTAGTGGAAGAAACAGCAGGCATAGTGACCCCAAAGCAGTAATGCCAAGGGGACATTCAAGTAACAGGGAGAAGAAGAAGGGGGCACCCAGAGGGGAGTTTAGGAGTCAGTCAAGTGGTCAAGGAGAAGGGAGTATCTCCAGCAGAGGGAACAACCAATCCGAAAGCTTGATGGGGTAACTAGTTAGTGAGGGCTGGCCGTGTTCCAGGCTTGTGGTGGGCGCCACACGAAATTCAATTGGCGGCTCCTTAACTGCTCCAGCTGATGCAGGCTCCTCTGCTCTGGGAGCCAGACCTTCACACCTCCACGCCCTCATCTCTGCTGTGCGCCACCAGCATGCTTTCTCAGACACTCAAGTGTCCTCATTGGCGATGGACGACACCATTGGGCCACAGGGCATTACTTTATAGGGAGCAGGGAAAGAGCATCAAATCACCTCGGGTCACACAGTGAGAGCTATTCCCTATGCAAATCTTTTATAGTCCTTCCTGTGTATCAAGGAGGGTCTCTGGTGCTGACCTGCTCTAACGCTGAATACTTATTAATCTCCCTTTGTGAAAAAGAGACGGTCTCAGGCTCCACACCTTTGACAGACAATTGTATCAAGCTAGGCTTTTTAAGAGCTCTAGGATACGTAAAAGAAATGTGCAGCTTGAATTTTCACAGCCTTAGGGCCTCAATGATTGGACAGGTCACCACCCCTAGGGCCCCTCTCTCATGGTTTTTGTTCCTATAAATTTACCTTTTCCAGAATGTCAGGTAAGTGGCTTTTTCTCACTGAGCATAATGCCTGAGATCACTTCATTGCACTGTGTGTTACCAGTAAGTTGTGCCTTGTTATTGCTAAGTAATATCCCATTCATAGCTTGTTTACCCATTCACCAGTTGAGGGATATTTGGGCTGTTTCCAAGTTTTAGTGATTGTAAATAAAACCATAATTAACATTTGCAAATAGGTTTCTGTGTGAACATATTTTTTTATTTATTTTGGGGAAATTTCTAGGATTAGAATTGCTGGGTCATATGATAAGTGTAGGTTTAACTAAATCAGAAACTGCAGAACTGTTTCCCAAGGTGCCTGTACCATTTTGCATTCCCACCAGCAACGTCTGAAAGTTTCAGTTGCTTCCCATCCTTGACAGCACTTGGTATTATCAGTTAAAAAAAATTTTTTTTTAGCCATTCTAGTAGGTATATATCACTGTGGTATTAACTTGAATTTCCCTAATGACTATCACTGAACATCATTTTATGTGCTTATTTGCCATCTGTATATTTTCTTTGGTGTAGTGTCTGTTCAAACTCTTTGTCCATTTAAAAACTGGATTGTTTTCTTATTAATGGGTTTGGAGGGTTCTTTATATATTCTGGATACAAGTCAGTCCTTTGTCAGATACGTGATTTGCAAATATTTTCTCCCAGTCTGTGGTCTTTTTGTTCTCTTAACAGGTAGAGTTTAATAACATTGTTTTGTTTCCATTGTGATGATTTTTTTCTGGTTATCTTTGATTTGGGGCCAGTGTCCTTGGCTTTTTTTCAAATCTAGGGATAATATGAAATGTTTCCTTTTATGATAAATTTATTTCAATGAAAGGGTAAGTCAACTTGAAAAAAAAGTAATAGAATTGGAAAACAGACTGCACAAAAATCATGAAAGCAGTTATTGAAATAACCGAAGTGGGGGCAGCTCTGATTCATTCCATCAACACATACTGACTGAGCACCCACTAAGCGTCAGGCTCTGTCTTAGGTGCTGTGACAGCGACGAACAAGAGAAACAATTGCTGCCCTTCTGGTGATGGCTTCTCTCCAGTGAGCTCCTCTTCATCCTTCAAAAGCCAACTTGAATGACCCCTTCCTCTGCCCAGCCCTTCCCTGGAACACTCACCCTACGGCACTGCAACTTTCTGATCTGCGAGTCTTCCTGGGAAGGGGATGTGCCTGCAGCTTCTGTTCGGGTTGCCCCGAACCTGGTGTATAGTTGTTCATAAACAGCACTTTACAAAACAGACACTGTTATGAGATGCCAAACGCAAGTCTGCTGGTTTGATTGACTGAAATTAGCCAGGTCCCCCCTAGTAAGTGGCCCAAAGCCCTTCCCTGCTGCAGTCTGGGCTGGCCCTGGGAAAACCAAGATCATCCCCCTTGAACTCCCCTCTGACAAAGGCAACAGGAGAAAAAGCTGCCTCAAGCAAATACCTTCAGCTCCCCTTTGCTCCCCACCCAGTGCCCACCCAACCTTCCCTGAGTGGCTCACTGACTGTGCAAACACTTGCCAGGCATCTCCTTGCTCTGGCCTGGCCCTGCTGGCCACTTCCTTGGCCTCCCACCAGCCTTGCTCTGCTCTTCCACACCAGCACCCATGCTCCTTCCTGCCTTCCGGCCTCTGCCCGTGCACCTCCCTCTGTCTGGGACCCTCCTTCTCTATCTCTTTGTGTGACTGGCTACTTCTCCACCTTCGGTTCTGAGCTTAAATGAGCCCTCCTCAGAGGCCCTTTCAGGCCATACTATCAAAAGCCTCCTTTCCTTCTGCTTTTCATCCCAACATTCTGCTTGTTTTCTTTAGAGCACTGAAGACTCTCATTTCAGAATTTATTTGTATGTTCACTTGTGCGTTGTCTGTATCCCCCCCATTAGAGCATCAGGTCACAAGGGATTTGGGTCTGGCCTTCTCTGTGCCCCCAGTGCTTGGCACAGGGCCCAGCCCACAGTGGGTACTCAAACATTTGATGTGTGCGTGAAAGAATGAGTACATGAGCTCTCCCTTCTCAAGAGGCACCTAAAGCCAAGTTGAGCCCATCAGCCCGTGTGTCAGGCTAATGGTTCTCTGGACTCCTTCAGGGTGGGACCACATGTCCCTCTCCTGATCACCATCTGGCTTCTGTGCCCAGCCTGATGTTGAATGCTGCTCACTGGGTCCACCCAGATTTGTGTCCTGCTAGCTGCCCACACTCGGGACATCCCACTTATCCTGGGAGCTGGCCTGTTAGAACTTGTTCCCAGGACATCAGGAACTGTGGGTCATGGGAGGGGCTGGAGATAGCTATGGAGGATCCAGGCAGCTGGTGTGGAATTCCACCAACTCACCGTGGAGGAGTCATTTCGGCTCCCTTTCTGTCCTGATCATGCCTTGGGAAGGAAAGGTTGCACTTAGGGCTCATGTGTCTTTATCGCTTTCCTACCACCTGTTTCTTCTCTTTAAGAAGCAGAGAGCAGACCCCAAAGCCAGCCATCAGTGGCAGTCGTTGTCTGGCTTTGTTCCACTCCTTTGTATAATTTGATAAATATCTTCAATTTATAGCAAGTACCTTAGATTGGCTTCTAATCTAATCTGTTTCCTAGAAGCAGATCCCTAAGAGAATAATTCAAAGGCAAGTGGTTTATCTGGGAGGTGACTCCAGAAAACACAGGTAGGGAAGTGGGGAGGTGAGACTTGGAGTGGGGGCAGCCAATACAGAGGGTGTTACTGAGCAAGTAACCCCTGTGGGCACGCAGGGATCAATCTGCTGTGGCACTGTGGTGTAGACCCTGCACCTCTGGAGTTATCCCACCTGGGCTTGGAAGTGGGGGTGGGGGTGAGGGTGGCAAGGGAGCTGAGCAATGCATATGTCCAGTCCTGCCAGTCCATGGGTGAGGGCACCTCCCTGGGGTATTGATTCCCAGCCTGATAGCCTGCTGCAGGTGGGCAGGGCTGGCAGGTAAAGGGCAGGTGCTGGCTGCTAGGATTTGGTCTGCAGGAGTGGAGTTGGACAGGATACCAGCACCAAATACCTCACTCCTAATACTAGTTTCACATTTAAAGCAGAAGTTTAAATAAAAATTTTACAGATGAGTTCTGACTTAAGGAAAGAGTACGCAAATGGTGTTCAGGGGAACAGTGAATGTGGTAAACGCTGCTATTTTTAAAGGCATTCAAAGCCTTTAACAAGCAGATATGTCTCTCTGTGACCCACAAGGATGGGTGTGTTCTGGCTGGTATAAAAACCACCCCCTTCTCCCAGTACACCTGCTTCAAACCCATCCCCACATTGCCCTGGACTCCTGGACGTCTTGGAAATGGGCCATGAAGCTTGAAGGCCTTTGTGACCTGGGCCTGTCGGTTAAAAGGGTATATTCCAATGTCACAGAAAAGAGTAAGTGTGTGAAAACAGCCAAGGCAATTTTGAAAAAGAGCTGAGAAGGAGGACTTGTCTGTCCAGTCATTAAAATACATGAGAGAGGTATAGAAAACAGAACAGCATGGTATGGGCATAGAAGTGTGCAAATTCATCCAGGGGTGAGAACAGGGAGTCCAGAAAGTAACCCAGGTGTCTCCTGACCTAAGGGATGCAAAAGGCTTTGGGAAAGAGAAGACATCAGTGAGCATGGAATTCTCTGGATCATGGCTGGGCTAGAGCTTGGCTTCCCAATAGGCTCCCCATCTTTGGCCCTCCTTCTGACCCATCTGAAAGGCACTGGGGAGACTCATCCTCACCACCCCCCACCCAGTCCACCCTCAGACAAACCTCAGAAGCTTCCAGCACAAGATGACCTAGACAACAGGTGGCCCTGAGGAGGACATGGCTCCCTCTGCAGTTCTCTTTGAGTCTTTTGATGAACCCACAGAGAAAGCTTCCCTTGGCGCTGGCAGCTGTAACACGTCTCCAGAGCTTGCTCATCTCCCTTCATCAAGCAGAGCAGACCTCAGCCCCGAGCCCTCAACAGGCCACGGAATCCAGTTAGCATTTCATCGTGTTGTTTTGTGATCACTGTTTCTAAAATAACTTTCCACCTGTGGAAATGAATACTTATTTTTTGTTTCTGGTATGCTACAAATTTTCCTTTAAAAATTACTTTTCTGACACAAGCTACAGCAAAGATGACCCTCCCAAGCATTATAAGCTAACAAATTCAGACACAGAAGGTCACTTATTGTGTGATTCTATTTCTCTGAAGTGTCCAGAATAGATAGATCCATAGAGACAGCAGATGAGTGGCTGCCAGGGCCTGGGGTTGAAGTGGGTGTAGGCAGCCAGAAGCAGCTTCTCAGTGGGCACGGGGTCTCTCTCTGGGGTGATGGAAATGCTTTGCACCTAGTTAGAGGTGATGGTTGCACAGCAGTGTGAATGCACCAAATGCCACTGAACTGCTCACTTTAAAATGGTTAATCTGATGTTACCTGAGTTTCACCTTAGTAAATTATTTTTTAAAAAACCAATCGAACCAAAAAAAATCAATTTGCTTAATAAAAAGTACTCATGGCTTTAAAGATGACTTTTAAGTGAGGTTTAGGAGATGCCGGCTAAGATGTTCACTCCTCCAGGCCTTGGCTCATGCCTTGCCCACGCCTGGAATACCCTCTCTGTTCATTGATGGACTCCTGCCCAGCCCTGGGAACCCAGGCCACACCTCACCTCTGCAGAAAGCCCTCCCTGATTATATAGCCCATTGGGTGACCAGAGTGGTCAGGTGGGCCCAGTTTTGCAGCCCTTCAGACCTGGAAGCAGAACCCAGTCTGGCTGCTACTGGTGGGGAGGAGTCTCTTAGCCTTGGGCACATTGCTTAGCCTCCTCAGGAGGGCCTCAGTTTCCTAAAATGGAGGTCCATGATAGCTCTTATACACAAGGGGGAGTTACTATGTAGAAAGTTTATGCATAGTAGGTGCCCTTGATTCACACGTGGTGTGCAGCACCCATCACACCGTAATTGCACTTATTTGTCTCCTGTTTCCAGGCTTGGTCTTCATGATCTCTGTACCCAGACTTCCCACACAGGGATGGTGCACAGCAGGTCCCCAAGGAGGGTATGTTGGCTGATGCCCAAAGGAATTCCCAGCATCCTGCCTTCTCTCTACCTCCACTGCTCTCATCCTGGTCCAGCCCCCTTCGTGGCTCATCTCGACTATTGCAGTCACCTTCTCCCTGGTCTCCTGGCTCTGTCCTGTCCCTCCCGACCCCCAGTCCACTCCCCATATACAGCCAGAGGGATATCATTAGAACTCAAGTCAGATCCTGTCATTCCCTGCTTAGAACCTTCCAGAGCTTTCATCTTGCTCAGAGTAAAAACTGAAGTTCTCCTCAGGGCCCATAAAGCCCTGCATGATCACCCCACCTGCAACCCCCACCATCACCTCTGCTGTCATCTCCTCCCACTCAGCAATCTCCTTGCTGTTGCCCTAAAACTCCAGGCCCCCACCTCTGGGCCTTTGCACCTGCTGTTCCCCTTGCTGAGGACCCGTTCTCCAGTATCACCCACTGCTCACTTCCTTACCTCCTTCAGGCCTCGGTTCAAATATCCCTTGTTCAGGGATGCTTTTCCTGTCTTGCCGGATCTTGCTGGACTCCAAGATCTCTTCCTGCCCTAGGAACAGCCCTTGGCTGGGTCCTGAGCCCTGCCCCACATCTCAGGCAGAGAGCAGAGACTCCCAGGCCTCTCTCTGGACTTTGAGGCGTGAGGTCAGTCACAGAGGCAGACAGTGCTCAAGCTGGCACAGAGGCCTCTGCTTGCCCGCTTGCCATGGGAGGTGGCTCTGCCCTGCTCATGCAGATTTCCAGGGTGCAGATGGGAAAGTCCCACAGCCTCCTCCATTTACCTGAGTTGGGCTGACTCAGACCCTCACCCCGGCCAGAGGGAGCTGCAGCCGCCCTGCCCAGCCCCTTGATGGGAAACAGCGCTGCTGAGGCCTGGCCGGCCGAGCACTGACTCACCTCGCCCCGCCTAGCCTCTGCCACTGGAAGTCACACCTTGCTCTAGCCAGAGACCGCCAGCCTTTTGCCCCAGGGGAGCTTTCCCATTCTGTCCCTTGGCTGGTAGTGCCTTCTGTCGGGAGCCACTCTGTTCCTTCAAGCCCAGCCTAAAGGCCTTCTCCAGCCAGGAAACTTCAGACTCCCCTGGCCAGAAAGTAAAGAGGTAGTGGGAGAGGAAATAATAATAAAATAATACTATTATGCAATAGTAATAGTAACTAGCCATGCTTCCCACGTGCCAGGCACTGTACTAAATGCTTTATTGTGTTAATTTATTTGATCCTCACATAATCTTGTGAGGTAGGGACTTTCACTTCCCAAGACACAGAGTGGTTAGTAACTAGGCCAAGGTTACCAGCTTGAATTTGAATCTAGGCAGTCTGGATGTCAAGCTGCCATTCTCACCTCCCAGATTTGAGAACCAAGTGGAGGCCTCTGAGGCTAGAATCCAGGGAGCTGGGGAGGGAGGCTGTAGGGTCTTGGCTTCTTCCCCACAGGGGAACCAGTCCCTTTTTCAGGGGATAATCCTCCTTGCCAAGCACAGGCCAGTCCTTGGTCCCTCTGTCAAGGTGAACCCTCAGAACACAAAGTCTGGGCAATCCACCAACAGCTGCTGAAAGAGCATTCACACGTGTGGAGCAGGCCTGTGTCCTGAGCATCTAACCCACTGATGTCTGCAGCAGCCCTGTAAGGTGAGGATAGTAGCTGACACCTGCTTTACAGAGGCGGAGACTAAGGCCCGGAGAGTAACAGGATTTGCTCAGGTTCACAGAACTAGGATGTGGCAGAGGCTGAACTCCAAACTGGGATTATTCTGACACCACAAGGCAAGAGTCTCTTCTACTGGGTGGTGACATAGCATCTCAGTGAACAACAGGACAGGACCCAGATGTCAGAAAAAGCCTGGAACTTCAGTTCACATTGCCCTCTCATTCCAGCTTTCCATTAACCTCCCACCCAATCCATCCATCCACTCACCCACCACCCAAACATCTGTCTACCTGTTCTTCCATTTTTCTGTCTAGCCCCTCTATCCGTCCACAGTTATTTCCACTATCCTTCTCTCATCCTCCTATCCATTTTTCTATCCCTCCTACCTTCTATTCTTCTATCTATCCATCCTGCCATCCATCCATCTATCCATCAATTTAAACATCATCTATCCACCCACTCATAAATTCATCCATCGACCCATCCATCCACCCATCCACCCTTCCACCTACCCACCCACCCATCTATCCCTTTCCGTAGCCATTCATCTATACATCTCACAAAGGTTTATTTAACTGATGGCTGCTATGCTCAAGTCTTCAGATCATTGTGCCTTGAGCCAAAAGAAAGACACTTAATTAGGTTTCTGCTTATTTGTTGTTCCAGGAATGCTAATTGTGGGGTTTGTAAACAGTCCTTTGATGGCTGGGGAGTTGCTTAAGAGGACAGTTAAATAAACAACTGCTGGGTGGAAACAGTCAGTGCTGGTACACAGTGGGTCCAGAGTCATGACCCGCCTTCCACAGCGGGAGTAGGGCTGTGTCCAGTCAGAGTGGAGGCTTCAGGGTCAGAAAGGAAGTCAGAATAATGGGAACAGTAGCAATAACGGCTAATACACTTGTTGAATGCTTACTGTGTGCAGATGCTATGCTATGCACAGCCCTTACATCAAATCTAGATGTGAGCAGCTGTCATGATGCCTTTTATGGGAGGGGAAACTGAGGCTTGCCACGTGTACATGGTCACACAGCTGGGAGGCAGCACAGTCACACCAGTCTAGGCCTGTGTACAGCAATGATGGTAATCACAGCAAATAATTATATAGCATTCACTATGTACCAGACACCTGTTCTGAGAGTCTTCTTTACCAATACTCATATACAACCCTACAAGGTCAATATTATTATCATCCCATTTTACAGATGAGAAAATTGAGGTTGAGAGACAGAAAGTAACGTACTAAGATTACTGAGCTAGGCAGAAGCAGAAAATTTTTAATTAAATGTCTAGACTCAAAATCCTCCTCTTAATCTTAAATGTTACTCAATGAAATGTACCTTATATGCATTTAACTTAGAAAGATTCAGCCATACATGGTTGGCCAAATATTTTTTAAATCATTTTTTATCTCTCTATTTTATGTATCTAAAAATACTGTAAAATTTTAACTTGATTTTGTCTTTTTTGTTGCTTTGTTTATGGGTTTGTAAACTTCTTCTGTAAAGGACCAGATAATAAACATTTTAGACTTTGTGGGCCATATGGTCTCTGTTTCAACTACTCAATTAGGCTGTGGTAGCTGGAAAGTAGCCACAGACAAGATGAAACTAATGGGTGTGGCTATGTGCCAATTAAACTTTATTTATAAAAACAGGTGGAGGGCCGGATTTGGCCCTAGGGCTATAGTTTACTGACCCCTGACTTTGTGCATCATACACAAATTTATATTCACCAAACCATACTCTATTGCCCTTTTATGAGCAACAAAAAGGATTTTCAAGGGCAATTTCAACCATTGCTGAATTTTACCTCCAGGCCATTTGCTCACTGCACACCCTGTATCTCATTTACCTGCTTGCCCACTATTGGCAGCTTCTGAAGGAATTTGCAGATTCCTGGGATTAATCTAATCCCTTTATTCACAAGGTCAGTAAATGAATGACACCTGTAAAGGGTGCTCAGCCTGGCTGACTCCCCACCAGGGACGCTGAGGGTGCTAAGGGCCCTGGGAATTACTCTTCTCCACACCCACTTCTGTCAACTTCTTGCTTGCAAAAAAAAGTCACAAAGTAAGTTAAGAAGTCCTATGGCTGGGGCTCTAGTACTATTTTGTACTGGTGACAAGAACAAGGAAATGAAAGAATGACTGGTAGAGATATTACAAAATGTACTCAGAGCTAGTGGGAGCAAAACAGGGTAAGGACAGAAAGATCCCCTTTCCTCTTTATAGCCACCCCTTCCCCTCATTGGCTATTTCCAGCCTTAGAAAAGTTGTGAGCCTGGGGGAACAGAACGTGGTCACTCCAAAGTTAAAAGACAAATGACAACCTAGGTAAAAATATTTGCAACATAAATGTAGACAGTGATTTCTTTCCATAATACATAAAGAATCCCTGCAGAATAATAAGGAAACCCCACCCCCCCAACTCACTAGAGTAATGGGTAGTGGGTGGAAAGAGGCAATTTATAGAAAATAAAATACAATGTGACAAATAAATATGAAGGATGTGCTGCCTTGCTGGTTATCAGGCAAACACAAATGTAAAAAGATTAGGTAACATTTTTGCTCCTCAGGTTGACAAAAATAACAGATTGATAATTTAAGTGTTCAGGAGACTGCAGAAATGCCCACACTCATATGCTGTGGTAGGAGTATAAATTGAAACAGCCTCCCAGAAGGACAATTTTATAGCATCTAGTAAAAGTGTGAATTCATATTTTCTAGAACTCAGCAATGCCATTGTCTCCCTTAGAGAAATATCAGGCACAAGGAATATGTGCCGAGATTATCACTGGAAACAACCTAAATATCCAATGATTGGGGAAGAGTTAAACACCTTGCAGTGGTCTGAGAGCTCCCCATGTTTTGAGGCAGAGCCTGTCTACCTCACTGTTGACACTGAACCTGCTAGACGCTCATTCTTCCCAGTCTCCCAGGGAGGGGTCACATAACCCAGCCTGGACCAATCAGACCTGGAAGCAAACCTGAAAGCAGGGACAGTCCAATGGCAGCAGAGATGTCTTCTTACCTGACACAGTCCTGTAGTATAGTTTGGAGCACTGTTTTTCCTGGTTTTCCAACCTTCCCAGACTCTCCAAATAACCTATTTTAATTTGACCTTTTTACTCAAGTATAATATACATACAGAAAAATGCACAGGTCGTAAGTGGTAACTTGGTAAATCTTCGTTAAGTGAGCACACCTATATACCCAGCCCCCCCATCAAGAAATAGAACACTGCACCCCCCAGAAGCTCCCCTTGTGCCCTCTTCTAGTCACGAGTTCCCTGAGGGTAACCAAGGGTAGTGTGCCTATTTCTAGTACTTTACATAAACGGAGTCAAACGGTCTGTTTGTGTCAGGCCCCTTTCTCTTGATGTTACTGTCTTTGAGATCCATTCGTGTTGCTGCATGTGGTGGTAGACCATTTGTTTTCTTTGCTGGGCAAAATTCCCTTGTCTGAATGTGACTCCGTTTACTCATTCACTCTTTTACTGATGGGCATGTGGGTACTTTCTGGTTAGGAACTACTTAGGAATAGGGCTGCTATGAGCATTCTTGTGCATGTCTTTAGTGAACATCTATCTGCATTACTGTTCAATATAGACCTCTTGCTGGGTCATATGGGAAGTGTAGGTCTCACTTTATTAGAAATTGCTAGTTTTCCAAAGTGCCTGGACCATTTTGCATTCCTATAGGCCACCAATGAGAGCTCCTTCTAGGTGTTCCACCTCCTAATCAACTCTTGATGCTCTCTGTTTTCCTCATTCTATCCATCCTAGTGGGTGTCTAGTGCTATCCCATTGTGGTTTCAATTTGCAGTTGCCTGGTGATCACCGATGTTAAGCCCCTTTGCATGTGTATTGGTTATTTGGTATGTCCTTTTATGAAATGCCTGCTCAAGTCTTTGCACTTTTTAGCTGTTGGATCAATTGTCCTTTTTCCCCCAAAAGACTTTTAATAGGTTGCTTCTTCTCTGTACAAATTACTCTATCAGTCAGGGTTCTTCAGGGAAATGAAACAGTTGGAAATTATGTATATATATATATTATTAGAAATTGGCTCATGCAGTTGTGGAGGCTGGCAAGTCTGGGATTTGTAGAGCCGGCCAACAGGCTGCAAACTCAGGCACGATTTCTATGTTACAATCTTGAGGCAAAATTCTGTCTTCTCCAGGAAAT